CCAGTACAGGAGCAGCTGGTGCATGAGCAGCCAGTACAGGAGCTGCTGATGCAGGAGCTGCCAGTGTCAGGAGCTGCTGGTACAGGAGGCTGTGTGTGGTTGAACTGTGGCAGAACTGTAAGAATTACTGCCCCCCTCCTCTGCCACTAACCCGAGCCCGTCCACACGACAAAAACTAATTTGCAACTCTTGGAAGAGCATTTCAAAGAGAAAAAAAAAGCCCTGCACTCAGAGCGTGTGACAAAAAATGTACCCGCAGCTGTCTGAAATTTTAGGAAGAGCTCCCAGAGCATCTGACAGCTGTTAACACACGAGGCAGCTCCTCTTTAGAGCTGCGCTGGCTCTGTTGTGCGATTTTGTCTGCCTTTCATGAACACGTGAACGAAAAAGAAAACTTTCTAACACAGTCCCTTCCTCCTCTCATACAAAGAAGCCTTTGGGTCAGCTTCTGAATGTTCAGCACTTCTTCTGGAATGAGCTGCTCTCAGGCGCTCACTGCACTCATTTGCTATTCAGGCAAGCAAGTGGGAACCAGTGCTCCAGTCAGGAAGACAAGAAAACAGCTTTCGGCACCTCACTCACTCCAGAATCATCTCCTCTAGGGTTTAAAGGGGAACACAGTCAAGAAGAGAGAGGGGCCACCTCCTTTAACTTCTGCAGGCTGCTGGCATTATTTATTTTATAGGAAAGGAGAACTATATTCATATTTGTTAAGGCTTTCTTAAATCGAGTTGCAGGTTCTCCTCACCATCTGCCAAAGACGGGGGAAAGCCAGAATACTGACCAAATCAGGCGAACGAGTAGCTCAAGAGAGGAACTCAGGTCAGGACAAAAACCTGAATAACTTTAGTCCTCCATGATCAGATCCCAGGCCCTGTTGGTATGCAAGCATGCGGGTGTCATGCCGGAAAAGGCAGCTGTTATGTAGCGAGGCTAGCCATGTGACTAGAAGTCTGTAGCCTCAGGTTCCAGTCGTGGCAGTCTGGGGGACACAGCATTTGGGGGAACCTGAGCTTAGAATCCAATGGCCACAACACACCAGCCTGGAGCGTGCAAGGCTGTTTGACTTGAATATCACTTCTCAATTTAAACATTGTCCCAGAAACAAAAGATGTCCTTTAGTGTACACCCGGGACTGGCAGTGTTCTGCTGCTCTCTAGTGGCCACAACGGGACAGTACACCTCTGTCCCCCTCTCTTGAAATTCCGGGTTCGGAGACGCAGCGTTGACTGACAAATGCTTTATTTTCACAATAAAGACACATAAACAACCTCTGATCAGATGGGGCTCAGCCCTATCATGCCGACTCATATCATTAAAAGCGATTGTGCACTTTGAAACTGTAAGATCGCCATTATATGAAATGTCTCAAGGCTGTAGAATAGGTTATTTTACTTTACTAGTTAGTTTCCTACTTTAGACCAGATGTGTAATAGATGTAAACAGGCGTCCATGCGTCCTTGGCATGTCTTGAATTGGGGACGTTATAGACTTCTGTCTTTGAAACTGAGTACAGTCTGAGTACAGTAGGGTCTGAGTGCACTGTGAGTACAGTAGGTCTGAGTACAGTCTGAGTACAGTAGGGTCTGAGTGCACTGTGAGTACAGTAGGTCTGAGTACAGTCTGAGTACAGTAGGGTCTGAGTGCACTGTGAGTACAGTAGGTCTGAGTACAGTCTGAGTACAGTCTGGGTACAGTACGCCACCGTCTTCGTCTTGTTTTTCGTAATCATCGTCTCTTCACAAAGGATTATTTTGTTTTTTGTTTTTTTTATGCGCAGGCGAGTTGCTCTTGTAATTGCTTCACGCATCTGAAAACTCTGACGTGCAAAATCACGTATGAAGGGGAAGAACCTCCCGCGGCCCCGGAGACTGCGGTGCTCCTGGCCGGACGCCCCACAATGCCCCGCCATGACACAAACGCCGCTGTTGCAGGTAACTACCAGCCTCGTCTCAGAGACCAGGGCGCCTAATTGCCTTTACACCACCCACCCCTCCCTTTCACATTTTCAGAGTAGCTCATCCGCAAGCAAGACAACCGCGGTCTCGGTAACAAAGCTGTTTCTTCAAAATGATTAATTGTGCTCAAAAGCCTGACAGGCTTTGTACATAAAGCTGTTGGAGCTTGTAAACTACTGATTTAATTGGTTTTTATGTTATTTACCCAACAAATCATCGCCTATTACGACGCGCTCAGCACGGCCATGACAGGTCCAGGGAGGATTTCGCTACGATAATCAGTATTTATAATGTTTCAACCGGTGGTCGCCGGTGTCCCCAAAACACTGACGAGTAAAACATCACGACTCATTTTTCTGGTCTGTTTTTTTTTTCTTTCCCACTAGTTTACTAAGCGCCGTTGATTGAGTTAGCCGGTAATTACAAATACAAGGGAATTTCACGCTCTGCTGGGATAGGGAAGAGAGCTCTTCAAGTAATCGGTTTAGCGAACAACGGGGCTATTTCAGTGAAGCCGCCTCCATTGTTCCTGCACCGGCAGTCTGTGCTTAATACCTTCTTAATTTCCCCCCACGTTATTAATTCTCCAAGTGTTTCGCAAAGGCGTTACACGTGTCGAAGTGATTAGAAATACGAGGGGAAAGGCGTTTGAAAGTACTTGTCGCCAGTGTTGACTCCAGTGCCGGTGTTTCTCTTGTGTCTACCCTGACGTGTCCCTTCCCAAAACCCCCTCCAATCAACCGGTTGCCATCGGGCTCCTGGGGTACCCGCACCTCGGAGGCAAGGCGCTCCCCGAATGTGTGTGTGAAATGAAGTGTCGTTTTATCTCTCTTTCCGAACCCAAACCGCTAAAAGATTCTGTTGTGGAAGATCATGCGACCAGCCCGAAGTAATACTGAATGAAGACGCCCGTTGGTTGCTGCAGGCAGCTGAATTGAGACACTTTCGGGGATGGGACGATACAGTTGCTTAGGTATCACCCCGAGTGATACCCTCTCCGTCTCGGACTCTGCTTGTTCACATACCCCAGCAGGTATCGCATCTCTCTGCCCGGACTGCCCCTACTGGAGCTCCGCTTTCAAATGACCTCTCAACCCATCAATTGACCGCCCCCCTTGTTTCAGTAGATATAACACAAGTGGGGTTTGGTTGGCTTTTACCGACATCTGCCGGATTGTGGGTTTTATTTATTTTCCAGTAACTGTCGGTATTGGCAGTAAACTGGTGTCAGCACAAGCCGCTGTCTCATATATTCGTGAGACGCGTGAGTTTGGAGTCTTGTGAGTCCAGCTATATGCAAGCCTCTTCTTTTAGCAAGGGTGAGACAGTATATCAGTCTACTTACAGGTCCTCTGTGCACGCCAGGAGAGTGTTTGTGCCCAGCGCCTGGACTGCCGTCCAGTCCTGTCTTAGACGAATGCATCATGTTAAGCTTTTTGCTAGACTTAACCAGCCTGCGCTGCCCAGTTACAGTAGGTTCAGCTTTAAGAGCAAGCAACTGGTGTTCCTGTCCAGGGCGCAGCCCGGGTCAGACTCCGGCTAACCGCTACCCTCTGCGGAAAACGTGACTCCCGGAAATGGCTGGAGCTGTAGGCTCTGGCTGGCTCCTTCCTCCTCCACCCCGGAGATGCGATCTGGACACCCCGAGTCCCCGAAGCCCGCCCGCCGCACCTCCTCCCCCATGAGATCTGGTGTCTGAGTCTCTCCTACTTGCGAGCGGTAACTACCTGAAAAGCGGGCAACAGAGAGATGAGTCACCACACGCTCAACCGAGATACGCGGCTGAAAGTCTAGGCTGGCACGGCCGACGCACACTCCTTCCCAGAGAGAGAAAGGCCCGGCCAGCCTCCTCCGCTCAGACCCACCTGCTCGCTCTATTCTGGGGAGCGACTGAGTCTCACACCTCCTAGGACAGAGAAGCGGGGGCCGCCTGCTACTTTTACTATCTGACGGATTAGCGCGTCGCAGGAAGGAAAACTGCACGCATGAGTCACACTTCGTCATATGAGCGTTTTGTTCTAGTGTTGAAGGAGCCCCTCTTTTAACCTGTTGCACGGTTGCACGGTTTTTATGTACTGTTGCTTGCGCATCATAACAATGCCTTCATTTGATTCGGATGTATTCGCAAGAGCAGATCCCGACAGTGTGCATCATGTGATGTTTGACTATATAATCGGATTCTTCGCACCCTGTGTTCAGTAGATCCACATCTTGGCAGTGTTATCCAATCATTTGAAAAGCAGTTCCTTTAATTAAGAAGCTGAGAGCGTAGCTGGAAGTCGTTGAAAGCACTCCAGAATCTAACAATACGGAGACTCGAATCTGGCCCTGTCGAGACTGATCGTTCATGTTGGCTGGACCGAACAGATCGGGTGTGGTTTACACTCTTCCACGTACAAGACAGTGATATTCCCCACCAGAGCCTCATTATCTTCATCGAGGAGTGTGATGCCAGCAGCCGCCCCCAGCACCAGCCCCTCGAGAGGAAATCCACATGGAAAACCAGAGTCTAATTAGAAAACACGAGCATTGTAGCCGGGCCGTTTCTTTGTTTTCTGCACGGCGACCTGGAGCAGAGACAGGCCAGAGCTCGTCAGAGTTACTTTAAAACTGAGCAAAGTGGGGGGAAATACCTCTCTCCAGCAAAGGTTTTATTGCTGTAACAGCGTCGGTCAGGTCTTCGAAGGTTAATTCGTCCTCGGAACAGAACAATAGCACCACCTAGTGGAGGCAGTTGTTCATGTTTTCAAAAAACGATGCAGTCTACTCTGAACCGTATCATTTTCCAGAACGTGGGATAAGACAACGTGAATCGACCGAGGCATTATTTGAGATGAATGTGTTCCGAAGCGTATACATGCACTTATCTGCCAATACAGACGCAACGCTCTCTAACCGATGGACACAAGGAAAAGCAGAGGTATCTTATATTTTAGATGTTTAGTTCTAACCCCCATCCGGCAGAGGTCGCTGTCGCCGTTTCCGCCTCCCTGTTCGAAATGTCCCCGCAGGGCGTCCGTCTTGCTCCGCCGCTGGTGTCAATCACGTGATTTGGTGGCGAAACTTCAAAACAGGGGGTCTCAGGCGAACGGGAAAGCCGGCGATGTTAAAATATCATTAATTAAAGGGGAGAATTTCAAATACTGGATGGATGCTTCGTTTTTATCAATGTTCGGGTCGTTTCATGCTGCTAGGAATAAATAAAATGCCCTCCTTCAGCCTGCTTCATGCAGCTCTTTAAAACGCAGCGATCTTTCAAAGAACACGATGGGATGTCAGCGCCGTCCGTATGTTCGAAAAAGTGCACGGAAAGAAAGTGTCATAATAATTTGCAATACAAAACCTTCAGTAAACCGTTCATTCCAAAGCCCACAACAGCCACTTTGACCAAATAAATCCTGCGATTTCGTACTTCTTGGACCTGCACTGATGTAGCTCGATTACGTTCGCTCTCTTGCGCTCAGTTCGTTATTTTTCGCCAGATATGAGCGTCTGACCCGCCTGTCTGTGGAGGAAGCCCCTGTTTGCCGTGACCCCCCGCCGGGCGAGTGCGGGGTGATCGCTCACAATGACGGGTCCCCTGCTTGAGTTTGAGACCGAGATGTTCCTCTCGCTGTTCGGTTCGGACGGGCTGCTGGTCACAGCCGAAGGTCTGGGCCTTGACCGGATTCTGCTGCAGTTCCTGCGGGTCTATTCGGAAGAGGGGAGTCTGGTGCTGTTGCTGAACACCACCACGCCCGAACAGGTGAGGATGCTGTACACCTCTGTCCCGCTCGTGGGTCACTTCTCGGAAGGTCGCTCTTGTTCCCGAAGATAAGCAGGGAAAGTGACATTCGTATTAAAAATGCTTGCGTGGCTTGCCACAAATAAAATCATATTATATGTATAGAATCATACGCCCAGTGCGTCTTTGTCATTAAAGGTTTATGATGAAAGTTTTCTGCACTGGGCTTTGAGCATCGCTGCCTTGCGGTGTTTCGGGTTCAGTTCCTGGGGTGCTGTCTGTGTGGAGTTTGCATGTTCTCTTTGTGTTCGCAAGGGTTTCTCCCACCGTCCAAAGACACAGTGGTAGGTTAGTTGGCCACTGGGGAAATTGGCTCTGGCATGTTTACTGTGTGTGTGTGTGTCCTGCGATGGACTGGCGTCCAGTCCGGGTCGTACCCTGCCTTGAGCCCATTGCTTGCTGGGACAGGCTCCAGCTCCTCTGTGACCCTGATTTGAAAGAAGCAGTTAGAAAATGGATGGATGGATTTCTACAGTACTGAGTATGAACGGACAGGGTCGATAGCGTTTATATTTCCACTTATGTGGTGGTTCAAACGTTTTTTAAAAGCCGAACACCGCCTAAAGAAGATACAAACTACATCCTTTGTATTGTAACTGCAGTCAATGCCTTGAAACCTGTCTGCACGGAGTAGGCTTGTGTTGTTTTATAAACCACTTTGCTAGTGGTGGTTGGGTTTTTACAATATCCTGTAGAATCCTCATCATAAATTGGGTATGTCAGTGGGTGCTCGTGTGTATAGAAAGGTACGTTAGGTATGTTTTTGCCAGTGATGGTACACCTTCCTCTGTTGCTCATTCTACTCATGAATGTCTGGAAAAAACCCACAAGCCCAAACTGCAATCCCCAGCCCATTGTGACCTCTGCCAGCGCGCGTGTGTTTCCAGGAGTTCTTCACGGAGAAGCTGCGGGCCGAGGGGGTCTCCCACCTCCCCAGGACGGTGACCAGCGAGGTGCCGAGCGGCGAGCGCCTGGACGTCTACACCCGGGGCGGCGTCCTCTTCGTCACCAGCCGCATCCTCGTGGTGGACTTCCTCACGGACAAGATTCCCGCCAGCCTCATCACAGGTCAGCCCCGCCGCCACGTCGGAACAGCTCTTCCGGGGGTTTAACAGCCGGTCAGATTCTTCTTCGGCAGCTCAGGTTCGCCTGCTTCTCGAGATGGAAGTGAAGAGGCTGTAGGCGGCCGCTTGTGTGAACTGTTATGCCCTTTGGTCACCACGCAGGGTGCTCCCTGTCATCGCGGACACAGGCACGATCGTTCTCGCTTTCCGATGATGCAGAAGGGCTGAATGAAGTTAAATAAATAACTGTATTTTTGGAAAAAATGCTTCTAGGTATTCTTGTGTACCGGGCTCACAAGATCATCGAATCCTGCCAGGAAGCCTTCATCCTGCGGCTGTTCCGACAGAAGAACAAGACAGGCTTCATCAAGGCCTTCACGGACAAGCCCACCGCCTTCAGCTCCGGCTTCTGCCAGGTGGAGCGCGTCATGAGGAACCTGTTCGTCAGGAAGCTCTTCCTCTGGCCCAGGTAGAGACTCGGCCTTCGCTCCGCACGCCCGGGGCTGGAGGGGCACCGAGAGATGCACAGATCGGGCAGGGGTCAAGCACGGTGCCTACGTGGCAGGCGATCAAGACGAGTTTGTCGAGCACAGGCAAAGCATCATCCTCCCCTACCCAGCATCCTCACCTGCTAAACCAAAAGATCAAGGGTGAGGCGGGGGCCTGCAGAACAGAGCAGGGTTTTGGAAACCACTGGCAAGCTCAGCTGCAGCGCAGCAATGATACCAGCAGCGCCGAGAGCCCCTGTCCTCTCTGTGTGTTTCAGGTTCCACGCGGCCGTCAACTCGGTGCTGGACAGACACAAGCCGGACGTGGTGGAGCTGCGTGTGTCCCTCACCCCGGGCATGAGCGCCATCCAGAGCTCGGTGCTGGACATCATGAACGCCTGCCTGAAGGAGCTGAAACGCTACAACCCCACGCTGGAGGTGGAGGACCTCTCTCTGGAGAACGCGCTGGGCCGCTCCTTTGAGAAGGTGAGAGCGCTGATGTCAGGCCCTGCACCTCTCGGAACTCACCCGGGCTAACGGGCCGTCTGACCGCTTGGCCGGAGGTGTGGAGAAACTTGAAGAAAATCAAGAGATCAAAATCAGCTTGTCCGTCCGCCAGGAAGGCCACAGGTCTTCATGAAACAGCCAGGGAAGGCAGGCCCCTTCGGTTCAGTGTTCACTGCACTCGGCTGCTGTTAAGTCTTTTTTCTGTGGGTCATTGTTCTTCACTTGTTGGTTGATTGAATGATAAATGTGTTTGTGCAGTGTTGCTGCTTTTTATAAGAGGTGCACGTCACCAAAAGTGTTGCCCCCCCCCACATCGAACCCTGCAGAGCTGAGATTTGTCTTTGCTTTGGCAGACAATCCGCCACTACCTGGATCCGCTGTGGCACCAGCTGGGGGCGAAGACCAAGTCCCTGGTGCAGGACCTGAAGATCCTGCGCACCCTGCTCCTCTACCTCACCCAGTACGACTGCGTCACCTTCCTCAACCTGCTGGAGTCCCTGCGCAGCAGCCAGAAGGCCTTCGGGAGCAACTCCGGTAGGAGTACTGGGAGCGAGAGAGGAGAGAGCAGGACAGGAGAGGTGGGGGGGGGGAGGGGGTTGAATCTGGGGCTGTCACGACAGTAGAACAGGAGATAGAGTTTGAGCTAGGGTCTCACAGCGCCTGCGAGACAGAAATATATCAAATCAGATTCTGTACAGTGAAACCACCCTTCATCTGGCAAGTAGAACGTGAGGGAGCTGAAGGTAAGGAAGCCTGGACCCAGTGCGGGAGTTTCCATGTAGGTTGAGGTGTAGAAGATGTTTGCTCTTCAAGTTGAAAGAAAAATGATTTACCCTCTGAAAAGCAGCAGTGATTGGTGTGGTGTTAAATTCCTCCCTTCCGTGCAGCAGCAGCCATAATGTGTGACGAGCATCGTTAATTGTCCGTTTAACTGTCTTAAAAAGACGACCTTGGATGGCATGTGCTCCACAGAGCATCAGGGACACAGGGTAGGAAAGTCTCTAAGCTGACGCGTTGTTATGACTTTGTTCAAGTTCAAGTTCAAGTTTATTGTCATTACACTCATATACATGGTATATGGTATAACGAAATGCTATTTAGCTAGCTCTCGGACATAAGAAGTACAAAGAGAAAAAAAAACACAACAACAACAATACAATTGTGTAGCAAAAGAAAGACAGAGACAACAGGCAGTGTGCAAAAAACAACAACAGACGATGTGCAAAAAAAACAACAGGCAATGTGCAAAAAACAACAGGCAATGTGCAAAACAACAAAAAAAGTAACAGGTTATGTGCAAAAATATGCATCAACAGAATAAAATAAAGGGATAGAAATTATTCGTTCTTGTCTAAACTAATTGCCGACTTAAAGAGCTAAGTGCTAACGTGCGTCGAAACTTCTGTTCCTGCAGGCTGGCTCTTCCTGGACTCCAGCACGTCCATGTTTGTGAACGCTCGATCGCGGGTTTTCCGTACCCTGGAACCAAAGGATGGCCTTAAAAAAAAGGCAGGAGCCACGACGAACCAGGAGCAGAACGGAGAAGCCGGTGATCGCAAAACCGCTCGTGCAACGCACCACACAACACTTCTAGAGCGCTGATGTTCACACCCAGCCTGCCGCACTGCGCCGAAATGGGTCCTGTTTGTGCGTGTCAGCAGGGTGGCTCATATTTTACCTCCCAGTTCCCTTGGCTTATGTTATTGCCTGCGCTTCCGTTTTTCTTGTTTGAAAGCAAAGGGCAGGAAAAATGTGTTGATTGGCTGCTACACAGGACGTCGCTGGGTGTTAAAAATATCTCCATGGAGCAAAATGTATGCACTCCGGTTCCGTTTAGTTTTGAGGTTTTGCACTCTGAGCTGAAATCTGTGTACATTTGTATGCCTAGGAAAGTGTAGATTGAGGACTAAGCCAGGGTGTCGGCCTCAGCAATATGGCGGGGAAGCTCATTGTGGCATACTCCTGCAGCCGTTTGCATAGAAATTCAATTCGGACCATCTGGCTGAAAACCCAGGATCCTAACCGCCAGTCCATACAGGAGCACACAAAGTGCTTTCTGTGCTGAGTTTTAAATACACTTCCCCATAGCTTCCACTTGTGGCCTCTTTGTCACTTTTGGGTTGTGACGCTAACATCCTGCGTGCGTGCGTGTTGCAGAAGTGAAGAAGGAGCTGGTGCTGGAGAAGAGCCCCAAGTGGGAGGCGCTGACAGAGGTGCTGCAGGAGATCGAGAAGGAGAACAACAGCTCCGAGCTCGGCCCAGGTCAGACAGAAGCACAGGTCCTGCCTTACTGGAGGAAGTACGGGACCACACTGCGGCCGATATACATAAACACTAGATAAACTGGATCAGTGAGCCTAATAAAGATTTGATTAATGATGGGTTTCGATCTTCCAATCTTCATCTGAGGAATTTAGCAAAAATTCTGTTAGATTATTTAAAATAAGTAAAAAGGCTCAATTTGTCTTTGAGGGTTTGGGGCGTAAATTCACTGATAGCACTGAGCGAACCATCTTGGATCTTTTTAATTAAAGGGTGATTAATCTCTCTGATCAGCTCCTGCTGATCGGAGAGATTGCGTTTTGCGTCTGCTGCTTTGCTAGTTCCAGAAAGGAACACGTTAAAGATGCTCCCGTGTCTTGTCCCGGTCCCTAGGGAGGGTTCTGATCTGTGCCAGTGACGATCGGACCTGTGCCCAGCTGCAGGAGTATGTGACCCGTGGCCCAGAGGCTCTGCTAAACCGGCTGTACAGTCGCACCTTCGGCAGGAAGGAGACGCTGCTGGAGCTGAACGGGGAGAAGAGAGTCCCGGCCAAAGCCAAGGGCAAGAGAGGAGCAGAAGGCGGCACCAAGGCCAAGAAGCCCAGAGCCCAAGCTGGGAAAAAGCAGAGCAAGAAGCCCGCGCTCACCCTGACCCAGATGGTGGGGAAGGGAGACAGCAGGGAGGATGGGCCGGCAGAGAGGGAGCCGATGGGCAGCAGCGCAGACGAGGAGGAAGGGATGCCGGAGGAGGAAGAGGGAGAGGAGAAGGAGGAGGAGGAGGAAGGGCTGATCCTTAACCTGTCCTCGGACTCCTACTACGGCGTCATGAAGGAGCCCCTGACCGTTATCCACCCACTGCTGGGCTGCAGCGACCCCTACAGCCTGACGCGGGTACTGCACGAGGTGGAGCCGCGCTACGTGGTCCTGTATGACGCCGAGCTGCCCTTCGTGCGCCAGCTGGAGGTCTACAAAGCCAGCCGGCCCGGCCAGCCACTCAGGTGCTCAGAGCTCCAGCCCAGCGCGTCAGACCTGTCCCGTTCCACACAGCCCCTTCAGCTCCCAGCTCGCCCCCTGCTCTGTTTCTTCAGGATGAGCGTCACTTGCTCGTGTTTGACCAATTCAGGAGGCGGTCTGTTCGTTTAAGGGTGCTGTGATCCCAGAGGACTAGAGAATCTTCAGGATCTTGTTCCCGAAATTGATCCCCAAATTACAAATCATCCGTTTAACTGAACACCGCTCATTCGTTCCATGTCTTGAGCAGCTTACAATTCAGTAACTCTCTGTAGAACCTGCTGGATAAGGGCTAGAACATAACACCATAAGAAGGCTTATTAAATTCGGCTCGTCTAGCCCATTTCATAGTCAGTAGTTCATTGATCCCAGGATCTCAGCCAGCTGTTTTTTGAAGGAAGCCAGGGTATCGGCTTCAACACCATGGCTGGGTATCTTGTTCCTCACTCCCACCACCCTCTGTCTTTGCCCAGAGGTGAAGAAGTGCCTCCTGTTCTAGGTTTTAAATGCGCTTTTGAAATGTACTAGTAGTTTTCACTCGTGGTTCACCGGTTCAACTCAGTTTATCATTTATTTGACTGTTAAAAGTTAAAGGCTGGCGGGGGTCACTCAGAGCAGGATGATCCTTTGGTGCCTCCGAGAGGATTGAAGAACACTTTGTGTGTCGTGTGCTTTTGTCCTCACTCAGAATATTACACAGAATGTTAATTCTGACCTGAAGAGTCTCACCTGCCTCCCCAGGGTTTATTTTCTGATCTATGGCGGTTCCACTGAGGAGCAGAGGTACCTGACAGCCCTGCGCAAAGAGAAGCAAGCCTTCGAGCACCTGATCAGGTGAGTGTTGCTGCTGAAAAAGCAGGAGTAAAAGTGATAAGTGTTCCAGTGAATCAACCAGCCATTTGCTCAGAGTTCCGGCTGATTGAGCAGCGAATATCTACCATGATTGGATGCCAGAACAACTGAATCTTTTTTGCTCTGTCCTTTCTAAATCGAAGGCTGATTTCTGTATGTCCGCATGGGAATGTCAGAACAGTAACTGGTTGCTTGGATTGAGACTCTCAGACGTGTATCATGGTTTCCAGAGCCGGCGCAGACCGGGAG